TCATGTATTTTATAAACCCTGTCTCTTAAAATTATTTACTATAAGCCAGCTAGCAGCTAATATGAATCAACGACGGCCGACCACCTAAATGATTACTTCATGTTGTATTTTGTTATCCCTMCACCATCTTAAATCTCGATTTATGTGAAAGATATTAAAAACCACAGGAATAAAAAATAAATATAAAGTAAACGTGCTTACGCCTTTATCGTCGGAGATGTGATGGCTAYGCAAACATACATCAAACTACATGTTATYTTTTCACTTGATATACTAGCCTTAAACGCATCTGTAAAAAAATTGTGTACTTTGTATAGTCTGTGTGAAAACTAAAGATAAAACCWGTATGTATCTTTGAAAAGAAATAAACCAAAAAMTAGGGTTTTTTTAATTTCTAAACGGTTTTCAATGATTTCATGTCGTTTAAATTCAAAATCATGAACAGCATTTGCCATAGATTTGSCATAGACRTATAAAATAATTAAAATACACTATTAAATTAATATTATTAATATATGTTACCGTAATTCAATACGGCATTATTTACGACATTGCAAATCGAGAAACTCAATTGTAATGATATATAAGTATTATTTATTTACTTACGTTACACAAACGAAACAAATACCTACGTATATTTACCATACATACAATGGGTATTATTACGTAGGTTTTGGAGAATTCTGCAGTATTTAATTCATGTTTTAGAAATAAGCTTGTTTYGAATTCATTAGCATTTATTGTATATTTTTTGAGGCTAAAAATATTTCCGGATGGTGGATATAATTTATAAGCCATACAATATGACCTAGTGACCAAGTTTTAATTTTTCGGTGAATTTCATAGTAATTAACTGTTAATATTGACTATGACGACTTAAATGTATATGTAATATGTGAAGTTATCGTTTATTTATCGCGCATAATTCACACCCGCAACAAAATAATAGTCGTATATAATAATTTTATACAAAACGGGAATATATATATATATATAAATATTATAATAAAATAGCCAAAGTAAACTTATTTTTAACATGTAAACCAGCCTTAAAAAAATTAATATCATATCTATAATTACACAACTAATTCCGTCATTACATAAATTATCGTATTACACAAATGTATACTTTTCTGGTATAACGCGTGTATATATAATGATATTGTATAATATAACACATTATAATATCTATAAGTTATGATCTGATGATGTCATTTTACCAAATGCGTGGTAGTCAAATGGACATTTTGCGAATGAACAGGTACTCGGAAAACTGTTGCCCATGTACGCCGCCGCCTGTGCTGGCAGCCACCGAGAAACCAGCGTTCAGCAACCGGGTGATGGCCTGCACGCTATTGAGCTTACAGTATCCATTTAACGGGAACCGGACCAAGTGTCTGGAGTCCACGGGCGTCCAAGACACAGCCGGACGTCCGGCCGACGGCTCCAACGCCGAGTGGCCTGTTTCGGGAAAAACTTCATCCAGGACCGCGTGGTCGCCAGACAACATCACCCGCTCCCCGAGGTCTGGACTCACGTGAACGGACACGCATTCGTACTGGTCTTTTGTGCCCGAGAGGCTACTGTTAGACCGGCTCGGGCCGTTGGATTCCCAACCATTTGTTCGGTTGCATTTCATTCGGTCTCGTTTCAAGTTTTCTAACTGTTTACACATGGCTGGAATAATAAACCATTATAGCATTAACTATCTGTGGTAAATAAACAATTAACATTATGTTTCAAGCAATATGCGCAAAGAATGCAGTTGCATTGCTACATAAATATATACTATTAGTTAGGTTAGGTATATATATAATATTATCAAGTTAAGGTACCGTATTATTAAACTTCAAATATATATTTATTAAACATTATTTAAYTATTTGTGTAAATAATATATAGGTAAATACTAAATAGGTTGTAGGATTATCTCGATATTTACAATTTTACATGTGTATTTATTGTTCATTGTTTATTATTGTACAAGCATTCATGCATACGGAGATACGTTGTTTCTATTTAGTTATGATAMGTTTGAAGAATGGTTTCTCAGAAAGTCAGAACAATTTTCACTATTAATGATAGATACTTGCAGGAATACTGAAAATCTCGTTGCTTACAAATTGCATCCCGTATAAAAAGGTATAATAAATAGCATAATACTAATTGCGTCCCAGTTTTTTTATAGATTCGAGCAGAGCGATGAATTTATTGATTTTACAATGATGTGTGTTTTTTTATTTAGATTTTTTTTGTGTTTACACACAATACGTTGTCGAAATAATGCTTCGATGTTCAACTTCAGTAGCTTTTCCGGTTGGAAAGTGAATCTAGTTGGTGCATTGGGAAGGTCAAATTATCAGTAGTTTTCAAGAGTAACAATTTAAGTTATATCGTAATAATTTAAAAATATTGTGCGGATACTTAAATGTCTAAAGTATAGGTACTTTATATTCTATAATATTAATAGTTAATGCYGTTAATGCCGTTAATGACTTATATTAATACTGTATAATATATTATACATATATGATATATACACAGTGGCGTACTTAGAGGGGGTGCAGGAGGTGMATTGCACCAGGGCCCTTTAGCTGTGTTTTATAAATAGAGCCCTTGAGCCCCTAATCGGCCTAATCAACAAGTAGCAACTGAAACTTTATAAGRGGCCCGRAAAATTAGGTGCACCTCTATGCTTAAATACATAGATACGCCACTGTATATACATACCTACTATAAATGACTAAATGATTACCGTACATAATGAATCTAATTGATTAATTTGTAATTTATTTTATGAGTTCCTACATTTTTTGTTTTTGAAATAATAGCTATATAATTAATAAAGTATAACGCATATCCTAGACTGACAATAAACTGTCTCTGAGTGCACTCAGAATCATATTTCGTATACAATATCATATCATTGAATTTGAATTTAATACTATCCATTACATAAACCCACTAGTAACCTATACTGTACAGCACAGCGACATCCACTTACCAATTTTATTTTTATTTTTAAACCCTGCATCTAAATTGCGTCCCTATTGTGATATCTAAAATATTTAAAGGCGAAATTATTGATTATTATCAAATCAAATTTTTAATTATACTATAATATTTTATATTGAGTTAAAATTATAAAATAAACACAAAAACAACATATTTATTAGTTTACTACCAATAGGCAATAATTGTAATATTTTTTATATATAATAATACATTATTAATTTAAAAAGCAAAAACAATATTTTCAACCTACCTCTAGTAGTAATTATTATTATAAAAAATCCTTAAGCCTGTATAAAACGTGAAGTGAAATAATGATTAGTTTTTATAACATACGAGACGCAATTGATATTATGTACCTACTAAAAAACATTAGGAACGCAACTAGTATGATCCTAAAGAATAATCCGGACGCAACTAGTATATTAACMCCAAAAATACGCGGGACTCCATTCGGAAGGAATCGTTACCGCGAGACGCAATTTGTATATGCAGTCGAATATACAGGCATAGCCCATTTCCATCAAAAAACCAGTTCCCTGATTTACCTACGCATAGCTTTTCCCCCCCAAAACGAAAAAAGTATGATTCCCCCGGTAAAGCCCAAAAGCACAAAAATAAATTGTATTACCTAATACAATATAGTACCCATTACACTATAGATTTAATTTTAAAATTATTATAGTATAGTATTATTTATTCAGTTTAATTTAATATTTAGTACTATCGAATTTTATCGTAACAAATTACGATAAAAAATATTTCAAGATTGGATTACTTAAAAACTGTGGGCTTCAAATTTCAAACTTAATATTAAGGTATTTTATTTTTTTTATTTTTTTATTGATCTTAAACAAAACATATATTAGTTGTTGCTATTAAATTAAATACAATTTTTATAATTATTTATATATTTTTATATTTAAATACACATTTTATAATCACGAATAGCATAGTATATTAATAATTGTATGATTTTAATTAGATGTTTTTATCCAGGTATATGTTTTTAACAAAATACACTTTTTTTATAAAATTAATTTTCACTTATGGGGTGTCAAAAAGGTAATTTTTTAAGCTTATTGTATATTTATTTTTGCACTTTTGGGTTGCGTTTGGGTCATATTTTTCGCTTATGGGCAATAGCCGATTCCCCGGACCGTATACCATTTGCGCATCGTCTGTTTACCTGTCCAAAAATATTGTAGGGACATATTAGTTTGCGCATCATCAATAGATAATCGTTTGCACATCACTGTCTATTTACCTGCTCCGAATTATCGTACATCAAATGCGCATCAATATTCTCAACAATAAATTATAAAAGGGTATAAAAATGGTATTACACGATGTATAACAATTAATATTATATATAGAGGATGAATAATTTAAGATTTTTAAACTAAAAAATAAAAATAATAAACATACATAAATATTTTAAGTTCAAATTTCGACAATATTCATCAAAAATCGAAAATTTAATTCTAAAACATTACATATATACTTGGTATCACATTATATCTATGCAATATTTGAAAATTTAATATCAAGTGAATATTATATGTAGAGATTTTAAGACCAAAGTTAACAAACAACTTGCGCTTTGGGTGTACACCATTTTTCATTTATATTGTTAAATAATAATGATGTAGAACCTTTTAAACGGCCAATGCGCAACCGATGTACGACCCAAAAATCGAACGATGCGCAATGGTCTAACAAAAAAGGTCAAAATTAACAATAGTGATGCGCAAACGACAACTGGCGGATTATCAATTCCGCAAAAATTTATTTTTATACCTATTATACCAGATAATATTTCAATATTAGATATGTTTTATAGATAAACTGCATAATATGTTCTAAATGAATATGTATACTTTTTTATAACTATTTGTAAACTAAATTTAACAATATATATTACAATAATATTACAGTTTTTAACTATATTTAAATTTTGTATAATGMTAATGTTATAAGTACTGCTATCGCCTATCTTGTGACATTATTTTAATTTTAAAATATTCTCAGCATCATTAGATAGCCTCCAGAAAATAACCAAAATCGTGAATCATGATCGATCATTACTACCTATATGTAATACTTTAATTTGCCTAATGAAGTTCACATTTCAATCCATACGGCACAAATTACAAATGTTATGAATATAATAATAGTGATTGGACAAAAACGGATGTAAAACAAATAGTATGACAGACGGATAGCTCGATAAGTATCACACAACCGGGGGCTGTATAAAAGACTGCGGCCATACAATATCCTTCGACCAAAAATTTACGTTCTTAACCTTGTCCTCAACGGCTCAGATTACAAAGCGTAAATATTATCGGTATAATCGGTATAATAGTGTCTTACTTAAATACACAATAAACTGACTGTTTATGGGCCCAATTATCTCATCAAAGACAACAAAAGCATTCGAATAAGTTATATGACATACTTATTAAGGCATTAATTAGTTTTATTATATAAATTATTAAATGGATTATTAGGCCGTGACAAAATAATGTATTTACTGATTATAATACTAGATAGGTCTTAAAAAAGTACTTACGAGTTATTTCAAAGTATCTAGCTTCTTCTAGCAATAGATCTATGTCAGTGAAATTATCAGGTAGCGAAAGCTTCGAATTTCTCATAAAGTTGAGAATATGCCTGAACATCTTGCCATCCCTGTCGATGAAATAGTGTTGTTTAAGAGAGTCTAACACTATGGGTATACTACCATTGAACAATTTAGCCAGTTTTGAATCAGGATTTCTGAAATTGGATTGAATATAAGACTTTCGTACAAAATAAATGAATTGTGTACGTTCAATTATTTTGATATACACAACCCAGTTACATAAAATATGTATTGAAATGTATAATATCATTATTAAATTGAAAACATGTGTACTTCAGTAAAAAAAATATGAAGTTATGATTTCCATACTTTTTAAACATGGTATAATTATGACATTAGCGCGAGTATACAAATACATATATAATATAATATATAGCTGGTATGTAACAATATAACGAATTATTCGTTTTTGTATAGTTTCTTCGAGTGTGTGCCTGTAACATCAACCATGGTAAAATTCCTGTATAGCTATATAATAACATGCCAATAATATTTATAGAAAAATACTTTAGCCCACGTAGGTATAATATATCGAGACTAGTAATGCACGACTTTTATGCAAGAATGACTATTGAAGCGTAGCGCATTCGTGTAACGCCAAAGGCGATGACACGGCGTGCAACGCTGAAAGGACCAATCGTTAAGTAAGCCAAAAAAAATAAAATAAAAAGGAAACAGAAACCCACTCTTTGTATCATCGATTGTTGTTATTACTTATTTCCCATGTTTGCTCCGTGACCTTACGCAAATAGGTATATTAAAAAAAAGTTTCATCGGATAATTAACCCAAATTTACTCACGTATACACGCGAATTTCTATACATGTAATGCCATACATATTATACTTTAAACTAACTTGGTTAGAGTATCCAGAGAGGACGTATATATGGTGCCACCGACGTCTATATGGACGGGAGCTGTATACTTAGACGCGGCTGCCACACATGGTATGCCGGCAATGATTTTGTGGTTGTAACCGGTAGTAGGCACTACCGGTGTTGGTGATGGTGAATTGCTGTTGTGTGATACGGTAGGAGATGTAGCCGGCGAATTACTATGAGCAATACAAATAATAATCCAATATTATAAAAATGAAATAAGGAAAAACACATAATAAATCTATGYATAAGAAATAAGAGAGCAATAAATTGAAATATAAAACATTTTGAAACTATTTACTTATACATACACCTAACCAAATCCTGTAATATAAACGTTTGTTAGAATGAATCTAATAAGTCTAAAATTATTTATTTTTGAATTTACAAGACATGCTTATTATTAGTACATATAATATTTAATGCATCATGTAAATTTGAGTAAAACTTTTAAAATAATATCTTTATAGATTATACTTCAGATTTAAAATTAATCACCTGATTTTTATTATAAATTAAAATAACAAAAAAATATTATTCTAATAAGTTTATTGTTTTAAAATGTATTGTTATAGCGGTAAGTTTACTATACATTTAAACATTATGGCTTATAAATAAAATTCAAAAACGAAGAATGACCAAATATTCATTAACAAAAGGTTATGTTTAAAAAAACTTTTTAAAATAATTCTAAATAGTGTTATACATATTTAAAAATAATTTAATTAAATTTAGTAAAAAGCAAATAATTGAGATCGATAGGTTTATTTATTATTTAAAATCAAAAATTTAAATTACAAGTTAATAATTTTTCTGGTACTTCACTATATTAACTTTTAAAAACTTCTTTCAATAACAGAAAAATATATTTGTGTATGTTCCTATTGTTTATATATTATAGTCACGTAGGTACTATATACAGGGTGATTCTTGTATCAAACAACACTTATATGGTGTTTGTGTKTAAATACCACCTAACATACACCTATAACACACAAACACCACCCAAAACCACCCAACTTTGGGAGGCTATATGTTGTAAATGGATTAACGAAAAATGAAAATTTAAACGTGAGAATTCATTGAAAAAATAGCCTT